AACACAATTTTAAGTTTATCCTTCTCTTTCTTATATATTTTTAACACATCTGACTTTGCAGTATTCCTAGAAGGCATCTTGATATTCTCATAAACATACTTGAACATTGCTCTAATACCCTCATATTGAACAAATCGAAATGGTAAACCATACTTAAGTATTGCCTCAACCATTAACTCACGAAACTTTTAAGGATCAAATTTTGTGGGTTGTATTTGCATAGATCCTTGACCTTGACTTAGAAATAATTGTACACTATTTCCGGTATTTTTTTTCACACATTTTTTCATGTGAGTATGCATGTTACCAGTTCCATGACTAGAGTCATATATATATATATATATATTTGATACCACAACTATTACATGCAACACGCTTCTTACTGTCTGGATATTTTTTATTTAATTCTGTAAAGTATTTTCATACTATTGAAGTCTTTTGTTGCTTTTAAATTTATTTTTTTTCTGTAGTTGTACCAGTTAATGTCTGTGCTGTTGGAGCTACATCTACTTTAGATTTATGCCCGACCTGATTTTTTTCATCAGAAACTATAATGTTGTATTTGAAAAAATCCATTTGTTTAAGGCAAAAAAAAAATAGAGTGGTTGTCACTAAAAACTTATTAAGAACACATAACAGATAGAGTGGCTGTCTCTAAAAATATTAAGAACACAAAATAGAGTGGCTGTCACAACAGATATTACATATTAAGAACACAACTCATTGATTAGATAAAATAATTGTAACCCATTAGAAATTATATTGTTAGATGCGAGATTGATCAAACATACCATGGTTTGGGTGAGCCAGGACAGGAAGCAAATGGGTTAAAGCTATACAGTATCACAGAGCACGGAGAAAAAGTTGAACATTACAGCCGTCACTGACTGATTCTAAGGCTGACTGAAACTTCAATTTCAAGCAAAAAGATATTTTTTTTCAAAGCAATAACACACACACACACACACACAAACTAATACCATAATACCCAACACCAGAACTACCATATCAAGATATGAAAAAGTAGCTAACGGGTTTAAGGTCCAGAATAGATAACAAAAACAAATAATAACCGAGAGGGGTTGCAAATAATAAACAATCAGATCTATAATAATAACCAAATCCCCAATCCTAGAGATTCAAAACCGGATAAAAGATCGAATCCATATTATTTTTGATAAAATTAAAACATCACAAATCACACAAAAATAAAAAAGTTTAACATAGTTTTAAATACAAATAACAAAGAACACACAAAATAAACACATGTATTATATAAATACATCTTGCATATATGCCATATATATTAAGGAAAAAGGATTTATTGGTGGTAAGCAGTTCGCTGAGTTGCTGTTAAGGTGTCACCCAAATCCGCTTAATTCGTGTCGGTTAATCGTGTCTTGTTGAATTTTGATAGACCTAGTTGTAATGAATATTTGTTATTTATTAAAAGAAAATGACATAGGAAAAAATATTTTTATAAAATAAAGTAATTATACGAATGTGTGCTTACAAGTTGTAAGACAACATTTGACAAAGATTGAAAATCTAATTAAAGATCAACAAAAAACTGAAGCCTCGTCTTGTAAATCCTTAAAGGAAAAATCTATTGAAATTGAAAAGGTTAATATTAAACTACTGGTTGATACCTCTAAATTTAATCTTCATAATAAAGTGAAAAATGAGTTTATAAATGAACTCACAAAGAACTTAAAAAAATCTGTCATTAAATGTAATTTCTCAAAATGAAAGTGTAGAGCAATCTGAAACTGAAATTCAATAATTTGAAGATTCTCTACATCAAATACAATATGAAGTAAATAAGATTGAGTATTCTAAACCTAAAAAACAAACTAACACATTCTCAAGCACCTCCTATGATGACTTATTATCAGTGATTAACTCAAGATATTTTATATCAAGAAAACTTCTTTATTGAACAAACTGGATATGACGCCTCTTCTATTTATGAGTGAAATATTTGATGGTATGTCAAAATATTTAATTCAACAAGTTTTATATAAAATTTTAATGTTTGTGATGGTGCTAGGATTTTACAGCCCAAGCCCAATAGGTGAGATGGTGATGTTCTAGTGAACAATGAGACAAGAAACATAAGTGGTTCACCTTAGCCGATGGACAAAGGCTACGTCCACTATCAAGGGAGTCTCCTGCTCCTTAAGATTGTATATTATTTGATATGAGGTGTACATTGAGAAATTGGGGACACAGGGTCTTTTACAAAGGGTGAATACTTTGCTCTATCTATTGGTTTTCCTTGGTTTGCGAATGCTTATGGGAGAGGAAAGAGGGCCATCCCTTATAGTTGGGTAACAATTTTCTATTTATACTTAGAGCTTCCTAGGGTTTTCGGTTATTCTTCCCTTGGTGCTGATCTTGTGAGTCATTCCCTCTGCACCTTGCTACTCCCTCTACCATTGTCGCTGCTGTTCATTCAGCGCCTCAGGTACCATGATCTCTGGTGGCTATGCCCTTCACC